CGATGTCCTAGTAACGATCACAGTCGTTGTTCGACTGGTAGTGGGCAATGGCTGAGTGGTTCTGATCGTAGATGTAGATGTCTGTGTGGGAGTGGTTGTGGTCGTAGGGGATGTCGTCGTTGTAGTGGTTGTCCTTGATGTCGTCTGTCTCTCCGTAGTCTTCGTGGTTGTCGAAGTCACTGTAGTACTTGGCACCTCCCTCACAGTAGTTGTAGCTGCTGTTGTAGTAGTGTCCCTCTCCGGAATCGCTGTCGTCTCTGGTTCTTCTTGAGAATTTGTATTGAAAACTTCTTCCGAATCTATCATGTCGTCTTCATCCGATGTTACTGGAACCTCCGTAATTTCTGACGAAGTGTGACCCCTGCAAAAGAATACACATCAAGAAAAATGGCCTTCTCAATGGGGTTGCACTCACTCCGTTAGCTGATCTGCATTTGACGTAGTAATGGATCTTTCCGTGGTCACATCTGCAACGGAAGTTGTCGTCTCTGCAGCATCAGTGTTGTTTTTCGTGTCATAGACGCAATCGTTTTGTCCTTTGTAGCTGGCTGCACATTTAAGTTCCATGCAGCAACATGTGTGCTGAAGAAAAAACAATTATCAACAGCTGCAAGCTAAGATTAGGTCAGAAACTTGAGAGACATTTTTTAAACTTTTTGAAACTATTCTTAGCCATCGTTCTAGTGTTTGCGAACTGAACAGCAATTGTTTGCGTATTCATAGATTATTTGCACACCAAAGGCTTCATCGTGTAGTAAACATCAAAACAACATCGAGAATATCCAAGAGTTTCTAACATTTAATTATCATAATCATACACCACAAACAATGTTCATTTTAAAAAAAAAACAGCATCATCGACCAAACTTTACACATTATAGACTCAACTTTACATCTAAGTTTGTAGTCTATGCAGGGAAGCCCTGTCACTCAAACTTTTCTTTCGACGTTTATTTCCTTGACGTAGATTTTAAGGCATCGGCTCATAAAAGCTTGATGCAACTGTTCGCAATAATATGCCTTCTTACAGAAAAACGCTACTCTAAATAAGTGACTGCCGCTTGATGGATAACTTTGAAGGATTGGATTGTAACTCATGCCAAATATGGATTTAGGCAGATGAAATATC